GGCCCCTCCTGTCTCCTCCCTGGCTCCTCCCTCCTTCGTCACCTCCCTGGTCTCTGTCTTTCGGCCCGAGGACGCACCTTGCGGGAGGGGGCATAATGTCAGGATCATGGTCTGTCTGTGTCATGTTTTGCCCCTGTTTCTGTTCCCTTATTTGGTCATGTTCCTGTCCTCGTTTTGTTTATTAGTTTGATTAGTCATCCCATACACCTGTGTTTCCCCAATCATCCCCTTTTTTTCGGTCTCGGTCGGTTCTACTTGTTATGTTCATGTGTTTCCTGCCGTTCCCAGTGTTGGATGTACCCTGTGTTTCTTGGATTAAAGACTGTTTCGTTTATTCCTCGTCTCCATCGTTCTTAGCCATCACAGATTGTGACAATAAAAAGCATTAATAACTTTACAGACACATGAGACTAGCACGTAAAGACCATATCAACTGACTTTGTACAAACCTCTAAACCAGTCTTGTTGCAGGAAATATAATGAAAGATAACTCATCAGACCATGTTATTTTAAATTCCTTATTTCAGGGATCCAGATTTTGTGCTCCATTCTTTGTGTATTTTTGTGCACTGGTCCTGGATACAACTGGTTTCTTAATGGCAGCCCTGCCTAAACCCTGGTTTTATGACGCTCTCTGGATATTTTGCAGCTTACAATTGCTCAACACACACTCCCAACCACTTCAGGGTAACAAAGACTAACCACTGCAAAATGAAAGCTAGCACAGCAGGTCAGTAATTTCTCCACTCATCATTACAGGAAGCATCCACATTGCTGGTACCAACACATTGTCTCTGAACTCAACACGTCTGCAGGCCCCACTGCCAGAGCTATAGGCCTGATTTACTAAAAGCCATTACTGTATTCCAAACCATACTGTAACTGACAGGACAGATATGTGGAAAAAATGCTGAGCTACAAATATTGTCTGCTGAGGATTGAGTTGTGGGCTGTAACATGTTTTTCTAAAGATTTCCTTTATTTTATTTTTTTTTGATGAAAGTACATCACAAGTAGTTTAAGACACCCAATATAAAGTGTAATATTCAGTACACCTGAAGACAACTGGCCTACTGTACATTGCAGATCCCATCCCGACTACAATGACTGTTAAATGAGCTAGTATTTAGAGACCTTGTTTCTGTTTACCCTGCTCAAAGCCCCTGCTTGAACCAGCACAACCAGCTGAGAACTGATAAAGATGAGCTGGTATCTTAATATGTACACCAGTATAAATGAGGCTTCCACTGTATATTTCTCTGCTTCTTGAGGCAACCTGTTGTAGGAAATCATGGAATGTATCTGGTTGCCATGACAACTTCAGACACACCCTCCCACTAACAGCACCACTGTCCCCACCACTTTCTGACGCCCAAAGGCCTTTCTGGGCCCCAAAACCGGCAGAGTCTGTCTCATTAAACGCCACAATGACATACCTCACTGTAACAGGTGATTTAGGAACTTGTTGAACTCAAACTGAACTCATGTTTCACTCACGTTTCATGTTGTGTTTTAACCCCCCTAGGGGCTTCACCACTTACAGTTTTATTTTTTCTGCCGCTATAATCATTCAGTGTAACAATAACACCCGGATTAGGGAGGAATTTTGAGATCAATGAGCTTCTACTCTTCTTAAAGCCCAGAATGAGCAGACAGTCCAAACCAATGACCACATGGAGTCCACACATGAAAGAAAAGCTGAGACACATTCAAGCATCATATACGAAGTCAGGGCTGTTTTTCATCAAAGGAAACTATACACATTATTCATCCATCCATCACTCTGTTCTCCAAAGCTGCTGTCCTCTGTAGGCTCACAGGGATGCTGGAGTCTATCCCAACGTCTCATACCGAAAGACAGACGACCAGTACATCTATCACTAAACATCCAAAATTATATGAATAAATTAACTCATCAACATGAAAGGTTGTGTAGCTGAACTCCACCACCACAATTAAGAAAAGAAAAAAGAAAAAAAAGAAAGTAAAATGTTTTCTGAATCACAAGACTGAACACAGCTCATTTTCAGATCAGGGTAAGCCGGTACCTTGAGCTGAAAAATCTCCTGAACAATCATGTGCTGGTCTAAGAAACAGTCTAATATCCCATAATCCTTATTTTACTGATTTACTTTCAAGTAAACTCATTCAGCTAAGCACTACTGCAGCAAATGCAGAACAACACAAGGAATAAAAACATTGAACCTTACGTGAACTTAAAGTGTAATAAGTAGCGTACTATGTACTAGAATTTAAATGAATCTTTTGATACAATGGAATTATTTTGTATATACATTTTTAAGACCGTACTTCTGTTTTTTTTTGTTTTTTTACTGCATGTAAGTGAATATGTAATACATTTTTGTAATTACATTTATAATTACTTTGACAACTGACTGTATCTCTACACCTTCACCACCACACCTGGCCCCAACCTTAATCGTATCCCACCTCAAAAGTAGAACAAATGTTTTACAATACAATGATACAACATGATAAGTACATTGTACCTAACTTTCTTTTGAGGCAGCTACATAGTTGAAGAAACCTAATATAAAGTGTGGCCAGACATCTTTTTTTATTTTAAATCGTTCTTTCTGCATTTGGAGAGCATTGTCAAACAAAAAGAACTGTTGAGGAAAGTTTAAAATGATGCATTCAGAAGCTCTCTCAACTTTGTATTGTTAACTTGAATTTGTCTGTTTATTCACTAAATGCAAAAAGCCTCATTCCGCTAATAAATTATTCAAGGCAATACAATAATTTTAAATAGTAGCACAACAAGTTAGGATAACATTTGCAGAAATTCTGTTGGTGTAACGTGCTTTTATGCAGTTTCACGTAATTCACCTTTCTCTTTGTGCGTCTGTTTTATTATTATTATTATTATTATTCACCTGTTTTCTTGCCCAGCAGGTGGAAATGGTGCACATGATCACTTATTAAAGTCACTTAGCTCACAGCATGCTCTCCTCAACAACACACCTGATCTGAGGAAGCATTCATGTCTGGAGCACAAACGCTGAAGGATGATGCACATACTTGTTTAGTTGTTTAGTCATTACTACTGCTAATGGGAGTCAAGTCAAAATAGGGGGAGGGCCATTCTTATTGACAACATTTGATTGGACAAAAATGTACACACCTGAGTGCAAGTTGAGTCATATACAATTTATTTCCAATCCCCCTTCTATAACAAATTGAATAAACCAACTGAAGGAATGTAATGTTAGCAGGTTGTAGTTTATTTATTTATTTATTTGCCACTTTGTATATAGAATAAATGGACAGGAAATGATGGCTGGATTTAAACCTGCAATACCTGCCTGCATTAGAGCCACAGCTCCGACACTGTATAAATGAATATATGCTGTATAACTAGGCCTACTGTATATGCGGGAATAATGAATGTTGACACATATATAGACGGTTAGGACAGCTTCTGAGCCGAAGAACAAAGAACAGCAGGAGAAACCCAGCAGACTCCCGCAGTCCTCAAAGAGCAGACATGTCTCTACAGAGCTTCCCTTCACATCTCCACACACAGACACGCATCGTTCACTCAATACAAGCCTGATCAAGCTCACAGCGATTCCTCACATACTGCTGCTGACACATGCGCCAGTGTGACAGAACAACTAGAGCAGAGAGCTAGGCGCAGAAATCCTCTTCCCAGCGGTGTACAGCTACTGTACCTGTGCGAGGGAACTCCTAGATCTCTGCCTCTCCGCGCATTCCCTAAAGCGCACATCTGCGACGCGACACTGTCTCTATAATTACTCAGGGAAAAGTTTTAATAGGGGGAGAAAAAAACTGAACCACAAAGCCGCAGGTAATTCAAAATAATCTGAAAGTTTTTGCTTTTTTTCTCCGCGAAACCGAAACCACATGAAAGTGAGTGAAATGAGAGGAGATCTTACCTTTAGAGCTGCTCGGCTGACGCGCAGAGACGCTTTGAACCTCCAATCACGCGCGCGTTTCGCTCGACCTGTCAGTGTGTGTGTGTGTGTGTGAGATGCTGGAGGGGGAAAGTTACTGCCTCCTTCAGTCCCTCCCTAAACACACGCACAGCTGTGAACAGTCATCAAAGTCACGACCAAAACTCTCCATCTATATATCAGAGTCATTCTTGCTGGACAGAACATCGGTTATTATAACCCATACATTTTTCACTCATCATCCAATTTGCAGGTCATTTAGAACTTTAGAGAGAGAGAGAGAGAGATTAAACAACTTAGATTTACATCTATTTATTATAAAAGCTGATTATTAATTATTGGAACACTCTCAGTTTTATGACAAGTTTTATGACAAATCAAAGTTTGCGTTTAGGTTATCATACAAATGAAAGAGGAGAAGAGGAGTGACACAGACTGAATCTTACCTGTTGCAATTTTTCTAAGGCTAAAACAGCTTTTATTTCATTGTAAACTCCAAATATAGCCAACTTCACAGTTACTGTTTAATGATAAACAAGCTGAAGACTGTAAATTCAAAGTGACCAGGTGTTTCAGCAAAAAAAGAAAAAAAAGAAAAAAAAAGGCAGGTCAGGTACTGAATTCAATTATGCACAAAAGTCTTGAATATGCGGCATTTATCAGATGCAAGAACAGACTTAAAGAGCGACAATTGTCTACTCACTAGTGTAATAACTCCAAATTGGCTAGTGAGTTCATAGCATTACCTGCAGTTGATTTCCACCCGTTCCAATCCTAGTTTAAGGATAGTTTATCTAGTTTAAAACTAGTCAGAGATTCTTTCTTCTGGAAAGTGTTCTTCTGGCTTTCTTCTGGCTTTATGCAACATCCTGGAGTAAGGGCACACCTGTGTTTTTGTCTGTAAATAGGTTGTGTTTACAATAACTTCCCGTCTTTCCCCAACTTGCATCAGGAAGCATGCTTACCATGCTAAAACCCTCAGGGAGAGTAATGCCGAATATACAGTTTAGAACAAAGACTGTGTAAGAAATTTCATGATGTCAACAACTTTACAGCTATTTTTTCCTCTCAGAAACAAAATGTACAAATCCAAACTTGACCAACTCAAAAAGGACACTATTATTATTTCTTATATTTCACCCCTGTTTAAAGGTGTACAGACATTAGGAAGGGTTTTCCATGGCGCATAAATCATAGTGAAGTTTGTCTATATCTACATGCATGTCCTCAAGAAACCCCATCAGACTGGAGTTGCTGCTTCATTGCTGTGATGATAATGATGTGTACAGTAGATCACAGTGGAATGGCATTGATATGTCTCAAGCTGCTGTAGAAAATTAAGACTTCAAGCAGTGGACAAAGTCCAGGAAATTGCACAGGGGACGTCTGTTCTGTCACACAGCTGTTTTGGGTCATCGTGACAGAGCTTTACTGCAGCCGTGATGAGGCGCCATAGACTCCAAGTGTGTCTTATCACACAAAGCCAACTGTGTTGCATCAGTGGCCATGCATTTGGCCCACATCTGGGCAAGAGTTGGTAGCCTGAGATATTTTATGATTAGGAATGTTTCTTTGTCAGCTAATGCACAATAAATCTTTCATCATACACATGTACACACACCCTGAAGTGTCTGAAACACTGAAAGCAGATGCCAGTTCTTTACACAATATGGAGCTCATGCTGAAAGATATAAGGGAGTCGAACTGGCTCGCTGCTCTGGCCGAGGGCCGAGTGAAAATGTTCATGGTGGGTATATGAAAACCACAGGCGGACCACATGGACACCACAGCATATGGAGGCTAGTCCGCAATATGGGCTCTGTAGACGACTATAAAAACCTGGAGTATACAAGTTGTGTTGAAGACATGGTCAAACGTACAGGAATGCCTTGCCATTATATATTACCTTCAAATCTCATTGGAGGATGCTGAGCAAGAACAAAATCTCTGGCATGGATGTCCATTTATAGAGCTATTATGTATTACATATAGAAATGTGGGCCAGGTTTAATGTTTGGTCATCTGGTTACCATGTTTGCTAACTGACATCTACAATTAGCCCATCATGAGCCATCAACAATTAGTTCTCTTGCGTTTACCACTTCACCAACTTCAAATCAAAGACTCAACATCAACTCTCAGATGTTTTGATATTTGGTGTAGCTTTGAGAGATCCCTCTTCTGGGTTTTGGTTAGTGTTCATGCTTTGCCAGCTAAATTGATGACTGCAGGATTTACAGTGAGGTTTGTAAATAACACAGTCAGAGTTTAACTCTGGTAAATAACAGCTTCAACTAAATTCAGCCTTAGTGAAGCTGATTACTGCTGTGACCGTAGAGATGCAAATGAACTACCATGTAAAAAAAACCTGTGACTCACTGTATGGTCGTTAAATTATGTTTTATTAACAAAGTTTGGGAGGAGCACGTCAGATACTTAGCCTAATTAACACAAGAGGAGCTCACTCAAGTTAATCAACACCAAGAGGTATAAATACAGCAGACTTACCTCTATCCTTTGAAAGTTTATCAGCATCCCTCCACCACCCCATCTCCTCACTTCGAGCTCTAACTACACTTATACGGGGGAGTACTCTGGGCTCGGAGCCCTTCCCCGGACAGCACGCCAAATATGCATTACTGTACTCCATCTAATTATATGTAAGTGTGAACTCGTGAATTAATGCAATGACAGTACCTAATATCTGTATTTAGACAAATTCATATATAGTACAGACCCACAGTTTGGAAAGGACACTAAATATACATTTCTATATTGTGAACAAAACAAACCAAATGAAGCACCACTAAATATGGTTTAAACAATAAAACTAAATAAAAGCTTATTTACCAAGCAAAACATAACATTCTGTATTAGCATATATAATATCAATTGCTGTATATGGCAATATGTTAATGTTATGTTATGTATTACAATTTGTGGTGAAAATATGTGAAGCACATAGTTAAAGTCACAATGAAACAGAATAGCAAAAATACCTTTCCTCCAATGTTCAATGTACATCTGAGGGACTTGGATCTGAACATCTGTTGATGTCTGGATGGAGGCAGATCTCAATGTGAGGTCTCAATGTCAGCAGACAAACTGACTGGAACAGACTGGCATATGTCACCAGAGACATTTTACTTACAAATTGTACAATTGTGGCATTGTGATCTGGTCACTGAAACCACATTCATAGGTGCCCAGGGATTGGTTTGCAATGCATAAGTAACGCAATACAGAGGTGGTGCTACAAATGGCACATCGACAGGGTTGTAAATATTCCATAATTCACTATTTGTATGCATTAGTTTGTATAATGCTTGGCATTTTAAAAGTAAATGTATCATAACACATTTGTGATAAGAGCTATTTTAGTCTTAACAAGATTCTTGCCTTTTTTCTTTTTATTCAGTTCTCACATGTACAAAAAAAAAAAATCACTTGAAATCATCTTTGCTGATTTAATAATAATAAAATAAAATAAATCTTGCGGGGTTTCCTCTTAAACATATTAGCATCCTGCACTACGTATGGGAGAATTTCTAATTATAGATGCTGGTGCAAATAGTGGCAGAACTGCACCCACTATTATATTGCACCCAATTCAAATACTAACATACTGTATACAGCCATCACTGCGACACAGTTATTGTGTGCGTGTTCTAACGAAAACTCTACATGGAACCCCTACCCCATAAACATAACTTATAATTATAACTACGACTTTACTGCAGTAAATGTTATTCGTATTTAAACCACCGCAATCACAGATACTACAGTATTACTATAGTGAAGACATTACTATGGTTTCAAAACCACGGTTTCTCTAACAAACAAACAAACATGGTTATTACATTCATGGTTGCTACTATATTACTATTTTATTTATTTATTTATTTGTTTGGACTCATCCCTACCCCTTTTGTGATAAAGCCATAAGCCTTTGTACAAATGTATATGATAAGCAGGTCATGTATAGTGGAGAGTGTATGTCTTATAGATCCTGCAGCTGTTGCCAGTTTTTCCACTTCCTTACTAGTTCATTTTAAGGGTCTTGGAGTATGACGAATGAATTTTTAAAAGGTCATAAAACTGCATTCAGAGTAATAATAAAAGTTGTTGAAGATTAAAGATTGATGAAGATTACCTTATTTAAAATGTCACACCACAGGACATGTCCACTCTGCAAAGTATTCATGTGTATTACTCAAGATGTCAACAGAGCTGTCTGTACCAGAATAATGTTTTTTTTCTTTTTCTTGATGCAGCTCAATGCCAATGGCGCTGTATTTCTCAGTAAATCTCTGTATTATTCAGTAAGTCTCTCCTAGTGAATCTTGTTCCACTGGAGTACATGGACTCTCAGGTGCAGGCTTTCAATGCAATTCAGCCCTTGTGTGGCTGGTCGTGTCTCATCATGTTGATAGAGTTAAAGCTTCCTACATGCCTGTCTAGTTCTCTCCCTCTCTCACTCTTTTTTTCTCACATTTACACGCCCATATCTCTCTTCCACTTCCAAAGGGAAAATACTGTCAACAAAATGCACTTATAAGAGGTATAGTTTACCGTTTGCTTCTTGAATTTTAATTGGCGAGAATGGCCAGAATTTCACATGCCTTGTCTAGAAGCAAAGAAATGTTCACTATTTTCATTCTGTCATAGAAATAAAGGTTCACATTCTCAAACAGGAGGATATAGTCTTGTTATTATTCCCCACACCCTGTTTTTCTAAGGTTCTACAAACAGTCCTCTCACACAAGGCGACCGTATCCCACTGCATAACAAGCTTCGAGCAAGAAAATAAGCCAAAAGGCAGCCCACATTCCAAGTTAAGTATGAAGACAATGCTAACAATTTCACTCCCAAATGAAAATGATGACCACCATATTCTATGCACTGAACAATCATGAGTACACCATCATCAAGAGAAAACATAATTGAGAAAATGTGGCACCAAAAACATGGGATTTGTTGGTTCTCAAACTTTATGAGGTTTTAAAAAGTCTGTGTTTTGGAGAAGCCATTTAATTTCATACACAGTACTCTCAGGGTGTGGAGGTGTTCACTTTTCTGCCAGCGAAAGAAGT